TCCGATAGTAATATGGCCTGTTAGCAGATCCCCACTGCTTAGCATGAGTAGATCCTTCGACCGCTTTTTGTCACATTTTGGCCATGTAAGCCTCGTATTGTTGCAAGTGGTGAGACTAGCTCACCTGTCGCTTGATAGTTTAAGAGAAAGATCCCTTAGAAAGAGATTGCAGGTGAAGAGCGGTATGCCTAATCCCTTCCAGGCCTGCGAAAGTGAAGCAGATGTGCCCTTTCTTGCAAGCTCGCCTCCTTTTCATTGCCAGGTATGTTTCGGTGCCCCCGGAACCCATATCAGGTGAAGCGCAGGCTGCTCAGCCATCTCGTTTAGAGATCTGCGACAGTGCGCTACGGTTTTGAGCTGCATGTGACCGAGTCAGGCGCTTTAAGTGCAGCCTGACTGTCAGAGTAGATGAAGAGATCATTACATATGACTTCTCTTGTACGTAGATGTTCAACCGCCTCCCGCATAGCAGCGACTTCAGCTTGAGAGACGCTGCAGTGGTTACGTAAGCGAAATGATATTTCCAACCTCAGCCGGGCTGAGACGAATTTTTGAAGTGTTCCAATACACCGTGCCATTTTTCTTCTTACTTACACGTTCCCCAAATAAAAGACTAATATTAGTAAAATTCAGAAGAGCCTCTAATTTTTATCACTCCAAAAACAAAAAATCACTGCTCTTTCTCGATGCTATGAATGGCGATTGCAGATTTATGCAAATTAAAGGAACAAACAGACAAATATTAACTATAGAAACATGCATGTATGTACATATATGTATGTTTGTATGCGTAATTTATCGTTTTCGCTATCACAAGGAAATATTCATGTGGAAACGAACTTAAACATCGCAGGCATATGGGAACTATTTACATATACAAATAGCCCAATTTAGTATGCCGCTGCGCCATCATTTAAAGCCAAATTTATGTGCTAAGGGCCAATTTCGTACACATATGGTGGTGTGAAGCCAACAGGCGGTCAACGGCTTTGAGTCGAATATTGAAATCGATATTGAAAAAGTTGCAAATAACGGTACCCAATAAATTTTGCTGCCACACAAATGGCCGAAGCCATATGCAAAAGTATAAATTTTTTCCAATTCTCACCTTCACTCTTGCTCTCTCCCATTTTACCAAAACTGACGTTCATAAATTTTCCTTCTATAAATTTCCTCTTTCTTTTAATGGCAAATTTATTAAGTCAGCTGACTGCCTTGACTTCCGCTTGAAAGTGTCTAAATTTCGACATATGTACTTTATTTCACATTTCGTCCTTTTACTTTATCATTTTCTTTGCGCCCACTCGGCTTTTCTTCACTTCCAATTCAATTTGTAATATCACTTTGGCCATTTCTAAAGGCACGTGCCTAACCAATAACTGAATTTTTGCATTTCGAAGAATTTTGGTTGAGCTTCCACGAATTTCCAACACTTTAGTGCCCATTTAAATTTTTTTTTTTTTTTTTTTTTTGTTATTGTCACACTTAAATTTGTCTTTTGCTTCCCCATTTTCTTTAGCTTACATTTATTGCTTTGGCGCGTGTTCGCCTCTCAGTATCATTTAAATTCATTTCGCTTTCACACATAAATAAGTATTATTACAGCTGCTCGTGTTGCTGCTAATAAATTGATTGACATTGTAATATCCTTTAATATCCTGGTGTTGATAGTCGCAAATTATGGAAATTTTACTCTATGAATTTGTATGCAAATATCTTCAATTTTGCTCGCACTGGTAGGGATTTACATATAACAAAGCCCCTTATTGCGTTAATGTATAATGAAGTATGTTTATGTGTAATGTATGTATAGTTGTATAGTTGATATACAAGAGCGTTTATGCTTAGCAGACACAGACATTAATGTTATGCTTACATAATTATGTAAAATTGTAGGGAAAAGATATTTATCTTATCTAAATCAATCCTCTTCTCTATGTTATCAATGTTCTTTTGAAACCACTGCACTGATTAAAAAAGTGTTTCACTTATAAAAATGATTATCCACACCATGCACACTACAAACAATATCCGAGATAAAGTATTCGATGGTGTAGTATCCCCCTAAGCAAAAGGTGCTTACTACCATTCAGTATTTCCCGGGTTCTACGAATGGCCAGCAGTTGCCAGTATAAAACAAAGTTGGGCATAGAGGGCTTTGACGACCAAAACATATTCCGTGGGAAGAGCCTTTTAAAGCTTACCATAGATTTTATGTCGCCGCAGAAGAGTTAGAGAGCATCATTGTTCTACACAAAATCTGCAAACCAACATCCAAATGCTCTGCACGAAGGCGAGACGGAGATCTTCAGAAAGTTTTTAAAAGCTTTGTCCGTGGACTGTGTGTTGATGTTCGTCGGTTAGTAAAGCTCGACATCAAAAATCAGCAATCAGGTCAGACAGTCACTCGATTTTGCAGTCAACTTTCACTACTAGACACGCAGAGTTCTATTAAACAGACTCAGAATATCGAGCAAGGGAATCACTCAATTCATTCCCTACGTATCAACGGTTAACTCTGCGGAAGTATTTAATTGGATTTCAATGAGCGCGAATACATTTTTAGTAAGTCGGAAAATGTTACCCTGCTGCAGAGTAAAAGTCGCTGCCTACAGGATTGTGCTGAGATAGGGTACAAGACGAGCAATGAGAGATCGCTTTTTGGAGTACTTAGATAAAGAGAGAGAGAGACATATTATGCGAAATAATAAGGAGGAGACAGTGGTATGGGAGTATGGCAAGCTTTGTTGACAGGAACAGACTCCCGAAAACTTAATCTCAAATTTCGGCGACAGGTGGAATATTTCGGGATCGAATGAGCTCCTGTAAGAACGGGAACCCGGATGTGATTGCTGATGCCAAGAAGTCCTTCATAGCGGCGTTAGCGTATTCGAAAACTGGTAACAAGGCTGTCGAAGTTTCAATCGGTCTGCTATTCATTTATGAAAATACGATGTGTTAAAGAAAGCGATTACTTCAATACTCGTATTACTATTGATATTTAACTGTGTATTTAACTATTCGGTTTAAAACATAAATGTACCCGGTCAAAAATTCTCTAGTTAAAACATAATTTCGTCTAGAGACTGCCTAGATTTCCGTAACTGTGATTTTCTCGATGGTGCCAAATCAGATTCTGGTATGGGAATACCTTATACTGATAATCTATTCCGGCGTTTACAGGACATTTCTGGCTAAGATAGTAAAAAATCTTCCGTAAGGCAAATGAAAGACAGCTGGAAGGATAGCTCGAAAGACTTATGTTGTTATAGCTAAAAGTCTTGGAAAAAACTATCTCATTCATTACTCGTGGTGAAAAGCTATTTTGAGAGAAAGTACTTGTATGTATAGCAGTTAGGTCGCGTCGATCCAACAGTAGCAGTGGCCAAGTGATCAAATCACAGGTGTCCCATTCGAAAGATCCGAGTTCGAATCCTCGGGCAACGGAATTTTTATATTTTTTTTAACCGACTTCACAAAAAGGAAAGGTGATCAATTCGGCGGAATATTTTATTTATTTTTTTTATGTATATTACCGCATAACTTTGTATCACGTTAACCGATTTCTATAATTCTTTTTTTAAAGGAAAGTTGGTACCTCAGAGGTGGTCCCATACTAATTTGGTTCAGATTCGATCATTGAATTATGAAGAAATTAACAGTACTCTTAAATTTTTATATGAGAATTGAAGTCGGTTTTGTTATTTGCTTAAAAATTATTTTTTTTTTATTTAATGGTCTTTTAATTTTAAGATTTTATTGTTTTAAAACGAAAATTGTATATCTTTTTTTTTAACTTAATTTTTAGAAACTGATTTTACGTATTTTTTTTCTTGCTTAATTTATATATCATGATTTCAAAAGGAATATTTTTTTTATTGATTTAGTTTTTAGGAACTTATTATTTTTTCTTTTTTAAATTAATTTGTTTTGTTTTCTTTTTTAAGCTTATTCTCTGTAGGTGTTGAATATTATTGCTAAGAAAAGAAAAAAAATATTTTTTTTTATTTTTGGAAATTTATTTTTTATTTTTTTATTGGTTTTTGATAAAATATAAACGGCAACTCTATTATTCATTCTCCAATTTTCCCGCATAAAGTTTTTCTATTCTCCCATTAAACATTTCTGTTATACGTACTATGTAGTAGCTTAAAATTTTCTTCTTACTTGGAATAAAGCGATTATTGCCTAAAGACGTGTGCTGCTTATTTTAAAATATCCCTGCAGTTTTTCTTTTGTTAAATACATTTTAAGTTTTAGATTTTGTTGCTTTAAAAAGGAATTTTTATTTATTTTTTGTCTTTTTTTAGTTTCATTCAATTTTTAAAAATAGTCTTATTTATGTATATCTGCTTTACTTTCAGTTTATTTTAATGGGAATTCTCTGATTAGTGATTCGACAGTTCATTAGCCAGAAGCGCTCCAGAATCACTGGGTAATTTTCCTTGTCGGGCGCTAGACGGAAGAAAGCAAGCCTGTCCAAAATCGAAAATTATTTCCGACCGGGCATCTACATACAATTTTTTTATTGGCATTTTATTTTTGATTTTGTGTAGCAACTACGGTTTCCAAGAAAATAAGATAGAGATTAAAGTGTGTATAGCAACAAGCATACATATTGTGCAGCTACTGATGAAAATTATGAACAAATTAACCGTTTTGGTCTACAAATACAAATACAACACTGTTGTTTAGCACTTATATATGTCAATGCTTCATATATGTATATTATGTAGGTATGTAGGATGTATGTATATAACTTCCTGCCAAGCCAGCAATAACTTTTGCAACATTAAGGCAATTAGCAGGATTTCGTAGAGCAAGGTCAAAATAAAAGCACCCAGTAACAGAAGCTTTCCTTCGAAAAGCTGCAACTGCATGCATCCATTTTACCCTTCGGCAACAACTCTAAGCCACGTATGAGCAGTTAAAACATTATTTGCTGTGATTTATTAAGTTTTGAGCTTTATATTTTAAGTATTTATATTTCCGTTGCTTACCTTATAAAATAATCCTGTATAAATTCTTGATTCTCATCCATCCACGCTTCCATGCGCGCTTGTTCGGCATCGTAGCCCTTCTGTGTCGTATGTTGCATGGTGTGTAGGTTTTGTTGTTGCTGTTGCTGATGCTGAAGCGGAAGCTGATGCTGGTATTGATGTGGCGTAGGTTGCAGCTGCAGGGGGACACCGGTACGTGGACTTAACGCATTAGCGCTATCCAATGTTACGCACCCTGTGCCCCCCTGCTCCGCCGCAGGCATTCTGCCGGTAAGATTCTGATGATGATGGTAGGTGTGTGTTTGTGTTTGACACTGCGCGCTTGGCTCTTCAATGCTTCGCAGCTGCAGGCCTGTAAAGAGAGTGAAAAGGTGGAGGCAAAATATTAATTAATTGTTATTGAAGTTACAAGTGAAGGTGAAATAGCTTAAGATAAAGAAAGAAACAAATGCTAATGGTCCAAGATGCGACAAAGGCACGACCTTCACCCATCTGTTTAATGGATGAAATATTTTTTCTATGAAATTTAACGTGTTAATAAATATTTTGCGAGTGGGTTGGCTGAAAAAATCCTGGCCAGGATATTTTTAATTAAGTATTAAAAAATTATTTTTTTTTTTTTTAATTTTGTACTCATTTGTTTAATGAACAAATTATATACCAACCGAAAGTATTAGGCCTATAGAATGTGAAAACGTTGGGTTGTCTATTTTTTTCCTGGCCTACCTATCGGGTTGGCAGGTATGAACAGATAGGTATTATTAGTAATTTTCACTCATCTGTTTAACAGATTCTATAGGCTTTATGCTTTCGATTGGTATATATGTAATTGTTTATTGAACAAATGAGTGCAAAATTAAAAAAAAATATATATATAATAATTTTTGAATATTTAATTAAAAATATCCTGGCCAGGATTTTATCAGCCAACCCACTCGCGAAATATTTCCTAAGACTTTAAATTTCATACAAAGTAAATTTCATCCATTAAACAGATGGGTGAAGGTTGTGCCTTTGTCGGATCTCCTATTATAAACTTAGCAAACATATTCCAGTATCTATAATGTAACAGGCGGCAAAATTCGCTATTAAGGTATCATTTTAATTCATGAAACGTGTCAAAGATTAATTCGGCATACATATCTATAGACGATTACTTTGGCTACCTTTGCTTAAGCTTAAGAAATCTTTGTTTATGCATAATCATTAGGGTGGGTCAATTTTTTTATTTTTTTTTGATTATGCATAGGAGGACTCTACGTGTAATTCTAAGCAAATTTGCCGAAGGAACCATGGGCCTAAAATTAATTTGGAGTTTGCCGAATTGCGAAAATAGGTTTCGAAGAAAATGTGAATTCGCACTGTTGCGCCCTCTTGTGGACGCTTTAAGAGAAAGATAAGTCCAGAAAAGGATTCCTCATACCAAGAAAAAACTACTTATAGGATATTTTTTATACAAAATTTAAGCATTTCTTTACGGACCTACAGCAAAATGCTAAGAAACCAAGTTTCGCAATTTGGCAAATTCCAAATTGATTTTAGACCATGGTTTCTACGGTAAATTTGCTTAGAATTACACGTAGAATCCGTCTGTGCTATACTCGCCCAGTCGAAAAAATCTCCCATACAAATTGACCCTCCCTAATAATAATACATACATAATTTCCGCACAGACAAGCTATGGTGTTTGACATGGGAGCGAAACACATTTATGTATGCGTTCTTGTTGCTGATCAAGCAATAAGCGTAAATACAGCTAATTGTAAATATAAAGCAAACCTGCATACAAAAAAGGCTACGGAAATAAATATAAACAATTTAAGGATGCAAAGTTTTAGATTAATTCTTTAGTATACAGAAATTCTATGAATTGTTTAGTAAACAGAATAAATAAGTATTGTTACACTTGATCCCTTAGCCGAACATTACACTCTCTAAACAATAAACAGTTAAACAGTTTCGTGTCTCAAAGTTTATTTTCGTCTCGTGGGACTGAAAAAATACTAAGAAATTAAACCAAAATGTAAATACTGCAGAAATGTGAGTAAGCTCTTAACAAAAAGCAAACTTGTGATCGATTTCCACTGGGTATAAAATGATAAAAAAAAATTAATATTGGGGGTCTTTATTACAGCACCAGAAGCCAAAATCAACAGTTTTTAGAATTTTTGTTTGTCTGTCTGTATGTTTGTACGCGCATCACTCGAAAACTAATGCATGGAATTGAGATCAGTTTTCATCGATGCATTGTCAGAGGTCTAACTTGAAATATAGAGGGAGAAAAAATTAGAGAGTTGCCAACTGTTTAAAAATTGAAGTTTAAGCTAATTGATTAGACAAAGTAAATACTGCAATATGGCCGTCAAAAGAAAGAGGTTTTAGAAGGCTTGCAGCCTAAAATATTTTTGTGGAAGGTTGCTACCTGTTTGAAAATTTCAATTTAATTTAATTGGTAATATAATTTAAAATTACCAATATGGGTATCAAGCTGAAGAGGTTTAGGAAGTATTACTGCAAAAAAAGTTTTGAGGAGGGTTGCCACCTGTTTGAAAATTTTGATTCAATTAAATTTATAAAATAAGTGAAATATTACAATACTTTTATTAAACAACACAAAAATAGTCAATAAAAATGAAAGACTTCCCTCGCACCCAAGCTTATGCGCTTGGTATTTGTGCGCTGTCGTCGAGGTCTGTGTATATACATACACAAAGAATACTGAGTAAGACTAATGAATGGTGTACTTTGCAGGTGCTTGCTGGCAAGTAGCGTTGCCACTTTGGTAATTTTTAACGAAAATTGGTCATTTTTTTCTTTCTTTATCAAATTTGATAATTTGGTTATTTGTATCGACATATGTATGTATGCATGTGTATACGTGTGTGTATTGGCTATAACTGGACAAATGTCGATTTTGAAGTCCTCCAAAGCTTGAGGTATATTCCCATATTCATAAAAACGTCCAATGGTGCCAAGTAGCGGTCAAATGACATTCCATCTACGGGAAATTATGCGCCTGATAATCCACTGTTGCAATGAACTGCATCATGGCACTGTCAATGATAAGATGCCTACAATTGCTTTGTGGCATGAGCCTTACATGGATGGAGATGTATATGCAAATGCAAGATATATTATTATGATCAATAGGGCAATTGACCAATTTGCCTTTTTGGCCACACATAGGTTTGAAAGCTTCAGAAAGACTTTCTGGTGTTGTGGCTTTCAGCGATAACGCAGATACTTATAACAAGTAATTTTTAAGCAAAAAACAAAACCGACTTTAGTTCTCATATAACAAAAAAAAATATATATAAATTTCACGATCTAATGATCTAAACCAAATTAGTAGGGGACCACCTCTGAGCCACTACCTTTCCGATGCAAAAAGAAGAATTATCGAAATCGGTTGACGTGATCCAAAGTTATGCGGTAACATACATTCAAAAAAAAAATAATAATATTCCGACGAACTGATAACCTCCTCCTTTATTGGAAGTCGGTTAAAAATTATAGCTGAATGGAGCGCTAATTGCCTGACAAGCTTGGTGTCTTCGGTTACATATACAGACATACATACATAGCTCTCGATGGGGGTACCTAACTGTCATTGTGTAATATTTAATGACAGTTTACACTGACCTTAATCGAGTCTTGGTCTTTATTGGCTTAATTTTGAACGGTACACGATAACACCGGCGATCTTATAATGATCGTCGACTGACCTTTGCAGTTTTAGTAAGTATTTAAAAATTAGTATAGTTACGGTTACAAAATGACCTTTTGGCAACATAAGGGTTAAATACGGACACTTTCGAATTACTGCAAATTTTAACAATTCACAACACCCAATTTTACTAAAAGTAAAATGCAATTTTCTAATCTTCCTAATTCTTGCATGAATTGCCTTAACTTTTCGCAGGACAAGCAAATTTTTTCTCTAGATAAGCACAAAATTTGCTGACCCTTAAAAACAATGACACCAAAAAAGGTAGCCATAAAAGACTTGCAAGAATGAAAATCATGGATGCATGTGAGAATGTTCGAGCTTACAAACTCTTGTATGTTGGTTTAAATTTAACGCTTGCAGCCATTAGAGTATCCCCAAAGACCTGCATATATTTTCCACGCTATCCACACACACACACACACACATTCACTCTGTTGGGTAGAAAAGTAGCAAACTCGACAAAAAAAACTACTCATTTGTGCGCCACAAAAAATCGTTGGCATTTATTTAAACCCCACTCCGCCCTCGTGCTGCGCTGCTACAGTTCACTCGGCAAAGTGCAATTTGAGTGCATAAAGGATTAAATTAAATTTGTACCAACGGAGTGACTGGCAGTGTAATTTGTTTGGGTGCGGCACAAATGGGATTGGCAACAGCATAAGCAGCAAAGCAAAAATAAAAACGCTAACGCATGTCCCACATTGCAGTGCAGCAGCCAAAAAAGCTCGTTAAAGTCATTTGCGTCATGCCGTCGACAAATTTAAATTATGTTGCATGTTATCGCACAAAAAGTTCGCCATGTGATTTTTTTTTTTTTTTTTTTTCAAATTAAATGAATGCAAAAAGAAAGAAAAGCGAATAAGGGAAAGAAAAAACATCTCCCTTTCCAATCGTAATCAAATTAATTCACAAATGCGTCCTACATGGTGATTCTGTAATTACAAATACATGTGTACACGTACTATATGTATGTGTATATAGTGAGATATGCATGAACATATTTATGTATGTATGTATGTATTCGTGCCCATAAGAGTATCAGTCTCATTCGCATTCGCACTCGCATTTGTGTACAAAAACAAACATCCAGCGAGCCAACAAGGATATGAAATTTGTATGCATTGGTGTAGAAAATTCCTTTGGCAGTGATTTGTATGCATTGTATTTGACTTTAACACCGCAGTTACCAACACAGACACATTTACATTTGTACGAATGCATTTGTAAACTTGGCAGGTTTGCCGACATATTTCAAAAGTGAAATGCAAATCTTTAGGAATGTGTATGCGAGCTGGCAAAATCAATGTTTTTTTTTTGTAAGGAATATAACCAATAAAAGTTTGTATATAATCAGGTAAAGAGTTTAATTTAACAAGAACGATTTTTGACATTTTCAATTTATTTTCAGCGTTCTTGAACCGAATTCTGAAATAGGGTGTTTTACAATAGAATTTTGAAATAGTGCGTTCTTCAATCAAATTCTGAACTAGGGCGTTCTTGAAGAAGTAAAACTTAGTCTAAATCTTAACTTTACTCTTAATCCTAATTTTATTTTTTTTTATCTTAATGGCAGTCCCAATGTCAACTTTAACCTAAGTCTTATCCTTAATTAACTTCAAATT